AACGACTCGTTCATCCCACGGCTTATTCTGCGTGGGAGGCACCTTTTTCAACGTGTCGGAAAGAGCACCGACAAGCTTCTCGGCGTCATCATCGATCTGTGACAAACAAGTCTGGTCAGCGACTGGCTACTCATCTCTCTGGTCATATCGGAGTACACCTCCACACTGCCAAGATGTCCTGCATGTGTGAATATGAACGGTGGAGGGTAAGAGAACGGCATAGAACGAAAAGGGACACTCTGCGCCGGGCCGAGGCACGAGATGTTCGCGTGGCTGCTTACCTTGATATCGAGTAACAGCCATATCCCCTCTCTTCCGGGTGAGGCAAGCCACTCCAGCAGGTCACTTAACCTCGGCAGAGGCTGCTTCGGCTCACGCACACTTTGGAGAGAGGAGAGGTAGTCCCAGTTACACTCGCTAATGCGCTTGTCCACTCCATAGCAACGCTTTAAGCTAGGGTCCTGCATAAGTCGCGATGGTTAGCTCTGAAATCACAAGCTAGAGAGACCAAAAAAGAGTCGAATAGAGCAGGCGGTCAAACGACACCTGACAAGGACTTGGGTTTCAGGAGAGCTGCCAAGCCCTACCCATCCTATTCCCCTTAACCCACCGAGAATAGAATGTTTTAGGAAGAGTAGGAGGGGAAAGAAAGGGGAGGGTGCGGATAGAAGAAGACAACGGGAGGTCAATTACATGTGAGAGAACAACAACGCCGTCCCTAGACAGGTGCAGGTCGGTTTCGATGGCGTGGGCGCCAACCTCGACAGCGCCCTTGAAGGCAGCCATGGAGTTCTCTGGCCATGCTGCCTTGTAACCCCGGTGGGCTATAGTCTGGGGCAGATAGCGGCTGGCATCTTGCCGGGAGCGAATGGCAGTGGCCCATCGAGCTGAGAAGGCAGATGTGAGCTTGGCGAACCAATCGCTGATGTTACCCCCTGCGAAGTGGAAATGGCAAACGCGGGGGTGGAGGAGGGTACGGGAACTGATGGACTGAAGAGAGAGAAAGTAACCAGACAAAGAGGCGCTTAGGATTGGGCGAATAGAGGAGAATCAGTTGGGATATAAGTCATGTTACAGGTGGATGAAGGTGTGCTCCAGATGGACGACGGATGAGATGGACGAGTGAGTATTTAAGAAGAAAGACGCCTCTTACCTTTGGGAACTGGACCCGCCGTTGTTCCAGCAGTCATCTCGACAGTCTAAGGGAGGTATGTTTCGAGGAGGGGATATAGCCGTATAAGATAGGTAGGACGAGGGCTAAAGTGAGCTGGCTGCTTGGTGGCGCTGCAGGTCTGGCAGCTACAATAACAGTATGTCCGCAGATCTAGTCTACTGATGATTCGATCTATGTCGGTATGCGAGATGTAAGCATCTGGCAGCCCGTGATGATCTCCATGATGGCCGGTGGACAGGTGGGTTAGGTGAGTATCCGGTGTCACGGACATAGCGGAGTTTCCAGCGCCTGGCAGCTGTGTTCGGTGTTAGGCCTGGTCCATGTGCCGTCTTCACTGGATGACAGCGCTCAGCTGCCGCCAGCCGAGTGCCTGGAGCTGCTGGAACGGTTTGCGGCTCCCGCCCCCACATGATTCAGCAGGTCAGTCACTATATTTACTGTACGCCCCCCCGCGCCAAACGTGCATAGCGTCTGGCAATACAGAGTAGTGCTTCCAGGTTTCTGTTTAGCTGGCTGGGGGAACTTGAATCAGAGGCACTGCACTATAAACGCCACGCTCCACCTGGGAAAGCTGGCTCGGGATCGGCAGGGCTATTCGCTGGTCACGACTTCAGCCCAATTCTCCATTCTCCATCGTCATGTGACGCTCACGTCATTTGCACCCGCCGCGTCAACATACAGTACGCGGTCAAGATGCTGGGCATGGACTTTCGCCTCGATGAGCTCATCAATGGGTCTCGACAGGTTTGCCTTCATAGCTGAAGCGCAAGTTGGCCCACGCGACTAGAATTTAGCAACTAGACTCGGAGTATGTGCAACGAGGTAACAGCAAAGTTGACTCGCAATACCAATGCCTCTTTGCAAGCGCTGGCCTAGAAGGAGGCACAGTCAAGAGACTTCGAAAGATGAACTACCCTTCGCCATTAATCGGAGCTGGCACTAGGCCTTACGCCCTTGTCAATAGTATACACAATGGTGGCCTCTATGTTTGCTCTAGGTTCCTGTAATGAGTTGTGCTAGCCATTTGCCTCTATCACTAGCAGTGTCGCTGTGTGCTGGTGCGGTCAAATTAGAGTCGCCTTAAAATCAAAGATATTTGAATATGTATTCTAGAAGATCTCCCCTTCCACATACCTAGCCAAGACGTCATACTGTTAATCATCTGGCTTCAAACTATCGTTGCCATTTTAGTATTTACCCTCCCCGTCGCGTTACGGTATAAGTACGGAGCAATGTGTAACTTTGGCTTGTTATACATTGCTTTCCCATAGACAAGGCATGTCAGGCATGCAGTACCCATGTATCAGTGCTTGTGGGGGTGACAATAAGGGTTTTCCTTGATGCAGATCGACTATTGCTCTTTGTTGATGAGAAGCTCGTCATTGCCAGGATCATTGGCTGAAAATGACTCGAATTGTGCTCGTTCTGAAACCTTTGCTCCAACTCTTGCTACCCCTAAGACAATATGAGTACGTTGTGCTGTAGGAAGGCATCTCTAGCTAGGTGCGAGCGATTCAGGTCTAGTACCGGAATTTTAACGTACGATTTTATCAGATCTGGCAATCTCCCCCCCTGGTAAAAGGTAAGACGATGCCTCTGGGGTCTGGCTTTGCAGCCGCAATGGAAGCGAGAGTATTGCGGCTCCGACGTTTCAAGTGTTTGGGGTTGGCTGGAGTTCAAAGGAATGGGAACTTATGCAGCCAGCAAGCGAGCACGATCGATGGTATCCTGCTCAAAGCCAGTTGATAAGCGACATGGAGACAGCCGCAAGGTTGGAGATAAGGATGCTGCAAACATCATGGGAGCATCAGAGATTGTCCTCTCGATACGACTTCTCACTCGACCCAGCGCCGGCTTTCGCGCGAGGCCAGTCTCTTTTCCAGTAGGTCTAGCCCGATAAACAACATCATTCATGCAGCCAGGCAGAGGTGTGGCATAACTCTCGGCAGGCGACATGGGTCCTCTCACCTCTGCCAGCGGAACTACACGGCCATCTACCCATCCAGAACCACCCGATTGTCTCGCCCTGTTGCGACCCAAGACAGATAGCGCGCGGATGCACGCTGATTCAGCTGCTTCGATTCGTCCGAGATACCACGAGGAAGGATCCCGGGGACACAAACCATCCGCCCTTACGACATGGCCATGTACGGGGCCGAGAGCATCAACAGGGTCGCATCGCGAAACGAAAGAAAAATGCGCTCAGAGGAAACAAATCCATCCTTTCCCCAGCGGCATCCGCATTTCCCCTTGCCCTTCCCCACGCTGCCAACATGATGTTTCCCCCATCTCGCCCACTCACGTGGCCCGTCCGCTCCCCATCCTATACTGGAGAAATGCTAATGCCCATCGTGCCAGGGGTGCGCCGTGTCTGTACTCTGTAATGCATCTGCAATGGAACCCATTACCGGACCCTGCTCTTGCACATCCATGAATCATTCCTCTCCCGGCCATGTACCCTGATGTATAGGCCGGATAAGGCTGGTCAACGCATCATTCTGTCGCCCTATACGCACCGTGTTCGCTCCTGAGAGGTCGAATATGGAATATAGACATACACCCTTTCCCTCGCCCTACCTCTATGCCCATGTGTCTCTCCGTCCGTCCCATGCAAATCATAACACCATCGCCATCACGCAGGGGGGGACGGGTCCCGTGTGATGCAAAGAAATTTCCCCCTTCGCCTTCACTCTTATTTCTCACACCTGGCTAGCCTGACTGACTGCATGCTCAGCCGTTCATGCTCAGCCGTTCGTATGCATACATACTGCCACCAGCATACACGTAAACCCGTAACCCCGTTCCCCGAATCCAACCGCATTCACCCCCAGCAGCACACACGAGAATAGACGCCGCCCAGGGTCTCTCTATACACCTCGCGCACGCCACAGCCAGCAGACATCTCCTCGCCCTCGCCTAGGTAGATAATCAGTCCTGCTCTGCCCTGCCGGCTCCGGCCCGGTCTCATATCCCCAACAGTCTCGCCATTACTCCCCGAATATCGCGAGTCATTGCCCTGCCTATACCGTCCTCCCGACCACACCATCTTCGCCCGTTTACAGAGACGGGTTTCCCCATCCCCCACACTCCCCCTCCGTCCTGTCTAGACTCTCTCCTGAACCTTCTTCGTGTAGCTTCATCGGTAGCGTGGTCTAGAAGGCTTCGCCGAGAAACCTTGACGGTCCATTCTTCGCAATCACACACTACAGTCAAGAGGGTGTCCTTTTTAAGCGTAAATAAACTTTGTCTTCTTTTACTTCTTTTAGGGACTAAAGATTGCTCTCGTGCTTTATTCCAAAAGAGCATAGGTAAACGCATGCATGCCTTTCTCAATCTCGTTTGCGGAAAGAGCACCAAAAATCACACGTATAAAGCAAAATCCCACAAAAACACGCGAACATAGGGCAAAAGAACTTTGTCAAAATAAGTAAAAGGAAAAGATTCCAATCAACCAGATTTCCCCTTCAAGCTCCCATGATATCGGGAAAATAAATATGATCCAGATTTGTGCTTTCCTCCCTCCCATTCCCATTGATAACCGATGATGGCGTATTAGACATAAATAACCCAACTAAGCCTCCTAGCCAAGCTGTCCTGTGACATCAATATGTGTGTAGTACTCCTATTCAAAATCAAGCAATGCCAGATGAACCCCGAGACGGCTGCCCTGCCATCCCCATCCCATAATGCGCCAAGAAAGACCCGTAGGCGAATCGCACGCCCAGCCCAAATATTCCCCTTGTTGAAAAAAGATGAATAAAAACAAAAGCCATGCCCGTAAATGTACCATAAGCCGGTTGTCGTCAAATATTTTGGCTTCCCATTTTTAAAACCCGTTCAGATTATCCAGGATATATCCTTCATTATTCGTCGTGTTCGCTGACATCATGCTGTTACCGTAATCCACATTTCCCATGCTAAGTCCCAACTCCGAGGGAGCGACATCCTCGCCTGAGGTGAGGCTCTCATCACTTAGGCTAAGGACGCTTTGAGGCGCCGCTGGCCCGGTGCCGTAGTCGCCGATGTTGAAGCTGGTCAGGTCCCACGAGTCGGGTGACCAGTCGCTGGGTTGTTGAGCTCCCGTCGAGACAGGTACGTCAGCGTGGAAGCTCTGCCCACCGTAGATAGCATCGTAGACATTGTTAAGTCCCCCGTCCATTTGCCCGAGAAGAACCTCCCATTCGGCACTGGTAGCAGGCGAGGCCATCTTGATTGGCAGTTGACCGTTGATCATGGCTGGGTGGCCTTGTTGCGGCATAGACACAGGAGGGTGCATTCGGTTGCGAGATGGCGAGATGGCTCTTGACTCATTTTGGGTAGCTTTTAGTGAGAGGTAGTCCAGGTTGTGACGCGAGGCTGTGGTTGAGGAGCTCTGTCGGCGCTTCGCCTTGGAAGGGTTCGAGACCCGCTGGCTTTGCTGGGCCATGGCGTTCTCGGGTGTTTCTGTTGATGGGCGAGGGCTGGAGTACAAGTCCGGTCGCTGGCCAGCAGCACTGGGAAGGGTCATCCGCCTGGCTCTCTCGTGGTGATCATGCAGGTCGCTCTCGCTCTGCGAAGCCTCGGGATGTCTTCCGAGCGGGCTGTAAGCGGAGGGCTGTCTTAGGTGGGAGACGGAAGGCGAAGCGCGTTGCGAAGGAGCTGGCATGGAAACCTCCCGGGGTGAGGTCTGCATGGTTGGGCTGCTGGCAAGAGGCTCGTCAACTGCGATAAGTTTGCCGGAAACTCGCTTGAAGTCCCAAGAACCAGGGGCCTTGGGGCGCTCGACGATCTTGATGACCGAGTTAATCAGACGCTCATACTCTCGCATGATTCTGCTGTCTGGCTTCAGGTCAATGACCTGGTACAAGAGAGTCATGCCACAGGTAATCAGCAAGTCGGTCTTGTTAAGGCAGAATGAGAAGTTCATGTTGCGCTCCTCCAGGAGCTGAACGATTTGGATAGTGCGCTTGCTGGAGTCGGCGATAGCCATGAGTGCGGGCGCTGCCTTCTGTCCGAGAGCAGAGCCAACGGCAGGGCGCCAGATAAGTGTTCGGATGAAGTTGTATGCCAGGGCCTGGGATATCAATGTCAGGGGTTGTTCTTGTCAATAGGGGACTAGGATATACGTACCAGAAGAGGCGACCGGCTGCCAGTCACATCTGTCGACGGCTTATCCTGGACAAAGTTCAATCGCAGATGGCCGGGCAGATCACGGTACCAAGTCTCGAGGTCAGCCTCGAGGGCCTCCATCTGTTGAAGAGAGAGCTCATGTGTTGAGGTTGCGGGGTAAATCTTTTCCAAGACGCGGGCAAGGATGCGGGTGGCTCGGAACAGGGCGAGCGCGCTGGAGAGACGAGTGAATTCTCCAGGAAGGGTTGGCTGGAAACCCTTCTCTGTGACATACTCATCATCAGTGTCGGTAGGGTATTCAGCCTGAACATCCTCTTCCTTCAGGAGCTTGGGCAGACCGAGAGTGGCGGCAGTGAAACTACATTTGTCAGCAGGCATAGAGATAAAGAACAAAGGGACACATACCAGTCAAGAGTGTACAAAGTCCAGAAGACCTTCTTTCTTGTTTCAATGGTCAAGGCACCGAACGAGAACCGCTTCTGGCTCTGGTGCAGACCGAGCCTGTGTGAAAGGCCGACAGCGATGCCCTTGTAGTGTTGGAGACGCTTGTAATCAGCCCGCATAGTGCAGTAGATGAGTGCAAGAATGAGGCACTGCAGTGTGCCCATCGTGTTCTCCATCAGAATATAGTCCAAGGCCTTGAGCCACTGATATTCACAAGTAGCCACTTGCTGCAGGTCAGGAGCCTCAGATGACAGCCCAGCAATGCTGAAGACAAGATACAGCTGAGCAGTCTTGTAATTGCACTTGATCTTTGTGGGATCGGCAACGAAATCCTCATAGACATGCAGGAATGTGGGCTTGTGCAGGACTGGGAAGAGTGGTGCCCATTCTTGGAAGTAGACATTGACACAGCGGTCTGAGAACAGACGAGGGGGGACAGAAAATGTCTGGTCCACAGCGCCGGTGACCAGAGGAGGAGTGCCTTGGATGTGTAGAAAGGCTTCAGGGTGGAAATCAGTGCACTGCTTGCCAGTCTCCTGCATCTTGCGCTTAAATGCCTCTATACGCAGTGGGTGAGGTTAGTAAAAAGGGGAGGTTTAAGATGCCATGGGTGATGTTGGAAAGACGTACCAATAAATGCTCGGCCACTTGATGGGCCCATGAAGTAAGAGTCTGAGTTCTCGACGCCGAGTAATAAGGGTGATGCTTGGATGCGGAATGTGTCTTCCTTGGCCGGGGGCGAGTCCTTTCTCGAGTCCGGTGAGGCCGAGGGTGAATGAGATATCGAGGGTTGGCGGGGGCTCTGGTGTTGGTGGTGGTTTCCGTGCATTTTTGACAACATGTCAATCTTCTCATCCTTCTCGTCCAGCAGATCTTTCAGCTCCCGAACCTCGCCTTCTAAAACTCGTACACGCTCCTCCAATGATTCAGTGTACCCACGGGGGAACGCCCGCCGGCTCAGCTTGTCGCTTGTGCGACACTCGAAGCCGACGTTGGCGCATTGTGTGCAGGTCGGGCGGACTCCATCACATCTAATCTTCTTACTACGGCAACGGTCGCATGCCTGGGCGATGCGGCTCTGTGAACTGTTGCCCACCTTGATCACCTTCATGGGTAGGATGCCAGGCATGTTGGGCGGTTGGTGGGAAAAAATATCCCGGAGAGAAAAGAAAGGGGCGCGGCTCGCTCGGGTGAGGTAGATGATGATGTGCCTTGCTGGGTGTCTAAGGCAGGTTGGTGAAAAAAAGTCGAGGTCTGGGTGAGAGCGGGCGTGGTAGACTCTAGCAGGGGAAGAGTGATATCACGGAGCAGCGCAGGTCACCAACAGACCATGGCGGGTTGTATATTTTCTCCTGGGCAGGCTGAAACCGCTGGGTGGACGAACGCAGTAGATAAAAAGGGTATCCTTGGTTGAGTCGCAAATGAAATAAAAAATAAAAGTCGTCCTTGGAGATTGAGAGATTCGAGGTCGCGTGAGAGAGAGACAGAGGAAGGGGGGTGGGAGGTGGTGGAGGGAAGAGGGTTGTCAAATAATGTGCTTCGCAGATGTGCGCTGGAGAAAAGAGAAGTGGTCTGGGGGAGGGGATTGGGGGCAGTCATCATTGCGAAGGTCGCTACTGGCTCAGCGGCCAGTGACCCTCCACAGAGGGACCTCAGAGGGAGGGGGGGGCGTTCCAGGCCCCGGACAGAGAGACTGGGGTGGGCTGAATCTGGGGGATGTCGGTACGTACCCTTGCACGCCCCCCCCGGTCGTTGCCTCTCCAGTCTGGTGCCTGTAGGTAGGTACCTCTAGTGAATAATTAGCTGGCTCTCCATTTTGGGCCCTAGCTGGCGCTGGTTGAAAAGAGAAGGATGGCCCATCTTGTTTGGGGGGGTCGGCTGATATCGGACGCTGCACTTGATGCCATTCTGTCGACGAACGAGACTGCGTGAATTACGCTGTTCCGTCTGCTCATTGCCTCCATCCGCATTCTCTCGCGTCATCCCTTCATCCTCTAGCTGCAGCGACCACGGCAACGAGGAGGCTAGTGGGGAGCGCTGCGGGAGAGTAGCCCAACCCCATCCCCAGATTGCGGCTGCCAAACGGACTAACACGCCGAGCTACAGCGGGCACGCGCTTCACCTTCCACCTACCTGGCCGTAGGTAAGGCAGGTAGGAATGCAGGCCGGGACGTGGAGTGATCCTGGGCAGCGCCTAGCAGACCGACCAGAACAGGCAATGGCAGGCAAGATTGTCAGACAATATTGCGATCCAACATCATACGACTTGCTTCCTGGTGTGTGCACCCATCTCAACTCCCCGTAATCATTGTATCTGGGCCATGCGTTTCTCTGCATTGCCCGTCCATAAATATGGGATCTTGTTATTATGGGATCGTATCATTTTACTCCAAGATGCAGATTGCGGGGAAATCCGGGGCAGCTGAGCAGCCACCTGTGTTTCGCACCGCCAGCACTGGGCAGACGACACTATCTCGATCCCTCGAGTCATCGCCCGCCACATCTGCGAGTAGCCCTTGGGGAAAACCACATGGATCTAGGTATCTCATTCCCAAGGACGCAAGGCCCGCTAGCTGGTAATCCGGGGCAGTCAACCATGCCCGAGGCGGTCTTGGCTTCATCCATGCCCACAACGGACTCTTTGGAGATCCGTCCTAGCACTGCCTCTAGGCTGCAAATTGCACCTCCTCCTCCGGTTTTACTTCGTCCCCTGGGGGCGATTTCTACAAACACTGACACGCGAGCCCTGACATAGTGTCCCTCTGATCTGTAACCTAATTAAATGTGTCAAGCCTGGGGCCTGGTGTTCGAAGATGCCCGGTAGTGCGGAGTAAAGGAAAAGCCGCCTTGCCCTCAGACAGGTTAAGGCCCTTTTCGCATGCTTACCGATGATTCAGCCATTGGCTCCAGCCGAATTCTCAATCCGGGGATCCGGCACCAGCAATGCAAGCTAAAATTACCAGCTCGCGTGGCTTCCCAGAGACTACAAGGCGCCCAAGCATACATGTACATTACAGATTGTCTGGGGATGGAGGGAGGGGAAGCTGTCCGGACCTGACATGACTCGACCTGACGTGTGACTCGAAACGACAATCTTACATGTTGTAATTACTGGTCTTTATGATCTTAATGACGTCCAGCCTTGACCGATACCAATCCCCAGCACGACTCACTAGACTGCTCCCCCCGAGTATTAAGGTCTAGTGTTATTTAGTGTTATTGACAGAACGCGGAGCCGCAATGACCGGGGTGATTAGCTCCAGATTAGGGGCGTACAATTGGGCCCCCGGTGACATTCGCCGAACACTTTGTCAGACCAGACCAAAGGGTTATTACTATGGCCAGGCTAGAGGCCCGCAAGTCTCTCTGCTAGGACGAACGGCCTGCGGAAGCCGCACAGATCTTTCGCCCCTAGCCTATTCTAGCACAAGATGTGAAAATGAAACCGATGCTACGACGCCTCGCCATGAGGTCGGTGAAGGGTGGGATGGCCTCTGATCCTCCTAGCGCCTGGCACCAAGGCCGCTATGATGCCTGCCTGGCCGGTGTGTTTGCCCACCACCCGTTTCCATCCCCACCTGCTAATGCACGCGTTCTCATCCGCATCCGCAGTCTAAAATAACATGGATGTCTTACATTGAATCGAGTTACGCCTGGCTTTATGCGTGGTCAGGTGTTCCCCTCAACATGTCGAGTTCTGTTGACTAAAAAAGCAAAATCATGGGAGGCGCTTGCCGTGCCCTGAGTAAGTCAATAATGTCATTTCTGTTGATCTTGAAGAGATCGAGAAGCAGCGATGGAACCCCAGCACACCACCGTCGACCCCTTACCTTACTCACTTTCATCATCATCGGTGGTGAGTAAGTAGTCTCCAATGTGGGTAAAGGCCACAGGTTGACCCTGCGGATTGCCCTGCGGATTTCGGGACCCGACTGCAGTGGCGTGGTGTGTGTGCATACATCCAAATGTGTTTTATTGTGAGCCTGCCCAGCCAGCCAGCACAGGCTCTGGCAGAGCAGCAGGTACGTAGGGCCATGACGACTGCTAACCCGTCATGGGCAGCAAATCCTTGCCAAGGGTCTGGGCATGGATGATTCGCGGTGGCCATGCGGAGTTGCCGATCATCCGTCCTGATTGGCTGCGGCTCCCATTAAGCTAGCCCTGTCCCTCAACTGAAATCCGGCTCCTCATTGGTCACTTGAGCCGACGATTTCTCAATTGGGACATCTTCCGTCAACCCGAGATACACCCTCACATCGTCTTCTAGAAGCAGGGCGGCTTGCTAGAAAGTTGCCGTTAGCATCATCAGAGTCAAGTAGTTGAGAGCATGTAGGACCAGACGGGGTGCAACCCCCTTTCCCACAATCCCAGGTAGAGTGCTGGACCGCTGCGTAGAAACGCCCCAACAAACACCCTTTTCTTCTCAGGGGAAAAAGGGGGGGTTAAGAGAGCTAGTGGTTTCCTCATCCACTCGCCTCCAGCTTGAGTTCGAGCGGATGGGAGCCAATGATTGGGCAGGGATGCGCTTACCTGTTCTGCTAGAGACGCCATGGCCTCTTCCAAGAGCGAGCACTCCATCTCTCGCAGTGTCGCAACGATCCGAACGTAATCTGCTCCACCTGCGCGCTTCGAGCTCGCATCGTGTTCCTGTTCAGGGATGGGGCTGCTTCGAGTTCGCTCCAGCTGTGCCTCGACCAGCTGCTGCAGGACAGAGACGACCCTGAGCTGAAACACAGAGTGAAGATCATGCATCTGGACGTGCGACTCGAAGTCGTCAATCTTGCTCGTCACATCTTCATCCTGCCAGAAGACTCTGAGCTCTCTTCCCCCGGCGTTGTCCTGCAGGAGCTTGAACTCGAGCCCGTCCTCCTCGTTGACGCACATCAGGTAAACAAAGGGGCTATGCCAGCTCACGGCCGCCCCCTTGGCCCGAGTGAGCCGCACTAGGGGTGATCGCCCGTAGACGTGAACCTTTGCCTGTGCTAAAGGATCACTGGCCAACGGGTCCAGCGCCAGCGTAATCTCCTCCTTGGCCGTGCTCCTGTCGATGAAACCGTAACTGAAGAGCATCTCCGCGGCCGACTTCGCCGCCCCGTAAGAGATGGTAACTTCACCCCCACAGGATGCTGTGGATTCAGGTCTGAGCACCAACACCACCTCTCCATCGGCCGTCTCCTCATAATAAGCATTTGGGGCGTCTGAGTGGTTAGCCATGTCGAGGCAGGGCACCATGCTGTCTCCTGCGTTCGGGAGCTCAAGACAGCGGGATCGATACCACGCATCAACTAGTGCCCAATCCTTGACTGTGATGGCATCTTCCCCAAACAGCAGCGACTGCCAAAACGGCAAGTCTGCGCTGACCTCGCGCAAGTGATCGAACTCGGAGACTAGGGTGGCTAGTTTTGCATTCACGGCTTTCTGCAGCATCACACGTATTAGTGCTTGGCTTCCCCCCGGGTTTCCCACACCACAGTTTCCTATCCCATCATGGGGAAGTTAGACTGCGAAAATGTCCCGGATGGCCGGTGGGTATGATATGTAAATCATCATCTTGCTTGAACGCACCTCGAGCGATGTGCCCCGCAGGAGAAGCCTCTCCTCCTCCGTCCACAGGGTGGGAGTCGGGATTTGACGCGGGAGGAATCTGATGTACTCGGTCCATGGGGTAGAGGCGATCCCTTTATGCGAGCCGGCTCCGCCGGCGGGAGCTCTGTAATGGGCCAGCAGATATAACATGACGGCAATCCTTGGCGTCTTCAGTGTCCGTCGGTCTCTGGTGGTAAGCCAGACGTCTCTCCCTCACAGGGTGGGCATATGGGGGACCAACCTCGTGGCCCATGCCTTCAAGCAGCTCTCGGAACTTGCGATCCACCTTTGCATAGTCCCCAACTGCTTCTGCCGACAGGACGGCATCCCGGGGGATCTTGAGCAGTGTTGGCGGTCCCTTGTCGGTGGTGAGGTCCCGGTCTGCCACGAACCCGAGACCCTTTCCTTCTACCTGTCCCACCTGGATGCCGTCGAGCTCAACATTGTTGAACCGTGTCCAGGTAGGGAGGACGTCGATGGGGAGTGGAGTGGACATGGCCGAGAGAGAAACCAGGGCGGCAGTTGGGACGTTGAGGGTTTGATTAGATATGGGAGAGTTAACCGCGGCTATGGAAATCAAGTTCCATAGCAAGATCTACATGCTACCTAACACTCAGATCCAGCGCTCGGAAAATTAAGCGCTCCTTATCTGCCTTGCCTATCAAACATCTGCCTGTGAAAACCTAATCTGTCTATCAGCAGTTATCCCAATTCACCCCTTGCCCTTTATTCTTTTTTAAAAGTGCATCTTCCTGGGAAAATGCTACTTGGCCATGTGCTTCCCACGGCCAAGCGGGCGGCCACACTCAATGCTGGTGGAGTACCACCACCAATACCGACAGTATCTATCTTATCGCGTATCAAAAATGAAAATTTCTTGTGACGTCGCACGCGCGCTTCAACTCACCCCGCCATAGAGATAAACCAGCCAACCAAGCATCACATCAATCGTACATCGAAGCGAGCAGGCCGCCGATAGATCCCAAACCCGCCTTGCATTCATCCTAGATCTAATGGCCTAGCCCAGCGGCCCAGCATTGTAATACTTAAACCCCCTGTACTCAAATCCCTCTCTTCGACGCCATGCCCCGCGATCCCCTCATTGGCCTCGTCGGCAAGCCCTCCGCAGGCAAGAGCTCCACCCTCAACAGCTTGACGGATGCCTCGTCCAAAGTCGGTCGGTAGTCTGCTCTACGTCCTTGCGTTCCAGTGAACATGTCCGGGCCAGGCGCGCTGATATCTTCTTAGGCAACTTCCCGTATGCTCCCCTCCTCTACCCCTCCTGTTGTTGGAAGATGACACTAAACAAGGTATACATACAGCTTTACTACTATAGACCCCCAGAGAGCCATCGGATACCTCCAGATCGACTGCGCGTGCGCCCGTCACAACGTCTCCGACCGCTGCAGACCCAACTACGGAGCGTGCGACGCGGGCAGGCGCTCCGTCCCCATCGAACTGCTCGATGTCGCCGGTCTCGTCCCCGGCGCCCACCAAGGCCGCGGGCTAGGAAACAAGTTCCTCGACGACTTACGGCACGCCGATGCGCTCATCCATGTCGTCGACGCCTCGGGGACGGTGGACGCGGAAGGCAAGGAGACGAGGGGGTACGATCCGTCGGTCGACATCGCCTGGCTGCGGAGCGAGGTCGTCGCATGGATCCTGGGCAACCTCATGCAGAAGTGGGGGTCGATCCGTCGGAGACACATGGCCATCAAGGGCAACGCGGTGGAAACTCTCCAGGGCCAGTTCTCCGGATACGGCGCGACGTCGACCGTCATCAACCGCACGCTCGACCGCTCGGGTGTCAAGGAGCCTTTGGAGGACTGGAGCGACGAGACGGTAGAGCATATTGTCAATTGCTTCGTGGATGAGAAGTTCCCGACCGTCATCGCTCTCAACAAGATTGACCACCCCGATGCGGATAAGAACATCTCCAAGATCGCCAAGATGCAGGATCCCAAGACCATCGTGCTCTGTTCTGCAATATCCGAGATCTTCCTTCGGAAAATGGCAAAACAAGGCTATATCAAATATGTCGAAGGGAGCGAGTTTGTTGACACCAAGGAAGACCTCATTGAGCAAGGAGACCCGACCGGCGGTGGCCTCAAGGACCTGGACGAGAAGAATCGAAATCGCATTGAGAACCTTAAGGACATGGTATTATATCGATTTGGATCCACGGGAGTCGTCCAGGTTCTTACAAAAGCGGCAGAACTTTTGGGACTTGTCCCCGTGTTTCCTGTTCGCAATACTTCGACTTTTAGTTCCGGCGCTTCAGAGTCCAAGTTCGTCTTTAGGGACTGTGTCCTTGTCAAGAAAGGTTCAACTGTCGGTGATGTCGCCAAGAAGGTGATGGGCGACGCACCGATAGCGTATGTAGAAGGAATTGGGAGTATGAGAGTCTCCGAGGACGACTTTGTTGCCGTGGGCAAAAATGATGTAAGTTCCTCCCTTGCTCACCTATCAGTCGTACGGCCGGTTAACGCAAGTTAGATTCTCTCATTCAAGGTTGGCAGAGGATGAACCCAGGTATAAGAGTTGGAAATACTTTTTGAAGCTCATCATGTGAGGATATGGGCACACTGATAGTCTTGGCAATCAGATCTGCTCCGTGAGAGGATAGTCTGAGTGCGTGTTTCGTCAATAGAGCCCTGAAAGGTCAAACAACCGTCCTGCAGCTCGACCAAATACCTGGCACACTGTGTAACGATGTTGATGTCCTGGGAGAATATGATTCATATATAGCGAGGAAAATTATCGTGCTGGATATAACAAGTTGGATGGCCCCTAAAGCCTCTGACAAGACACAAGAAGCCCTCAACAAAATGTTAAAATTTTATCAAGGCTCTTTTTCAGCCCCCATTGCATCTCTAATCAGCTGTGATAGGCAGTGGCCAGACACGGGGTGGCGGCCCTGAGATTATTTCCACCCCTACCTGCTTTGCGCTTTTTCGAAGAATATCCAAATCGAAACCAATAGCTCCGCTCTGGTATACAGTTTTTAACTTGGTCTTCTTCAAGATATCCACAATCAAGCCAGCAAGCTCGGTACTTTCGCAGACTTCAGAACGGATCTCCAATGTTTCCAGGTTTGGGAAACTACCAAGGAAGTCGGGCAGCGGCATGTCGCTATCCTTGATGGGGTACCGCCTGAATCGAAAACCGAAGAGGCCCATGCGGCGGATTGATGGGGAGCCGCAGAGCCATTCGTGTTCCATAATACGCTGGCAACTGTATGATGCCGCAGCATATTCGTCCACAGGACAGTCAAACACAATGTCCAAGGATTCAAGTGACCCGTTTCCAATGCTCGACGCGAGCATTTGGCCAGATGCCAACGGGTCGAGCACGACGCGATTCAGATGAAGCGATTTAAGCTTCTTGAATCGAAACGACGACGTCTCCTGCAGGTCATCGTTTCCAAGGAATTCTAAATCGCCACGCAAGAAGCTCAATCCCTTAGGATCTGCGTATATTCGCTCCGCCTGAATTTCAAGATGTTGTAAATGTTCCCATTCGTCCGTCAAAATCAAGCGCGACAGGCCAGCGAATGGTTGCAATTCAAGATGCAGAAAGTCTGGATTTACGCTCAACACTCGAAGTCGTGGCCAGCTAATTGCTTCCGAGGAGTGGCAAGTGAGAGAGACCTTGTTCAAGCATAATTGTTCAAGGTTGGGAAAGCAAGCTATCAGGGTATTCTAAATAAGAAAAGTCAGCTTCCCTCGCTTCCCCTTGAGAGTTTGTAACTTACCACTGAGATGGCGGGACACATCTCCATACGAAGATGTTTCAGGCTCAGTACCGGGGGACAATTAAATGGACCTTTCCAAGTCTTCGTCATCGTCACGTCTGACAGTTCCATGGATTGTAGGCTGTTACTGTTTGCAATGACGAGGTTTCGAGGAATTTCATAGCGTGAAAGAACTAGATGCATTAATGATCTTGGAGCATTCTTCGACGCTGGATTCTCGATGTCAATGTCTTCAGCTTGATGATGAAGCTCGAGATACTCCAGCTGGCGTACCCCTCGGAGAAACACCCGAAACTTTGACTGCGTAAGAAAAAATCTTGCCGAATTTCCAATCAGGAGACGGCGGGCGTCATTTCCAGAGTATGACAGCAATTTGATGATCGCTGCTGTACTCGGAGCTCGCCGTGGCTTCGTAGCAATGAAGTCCAGCTCCCTCCACAGATGGTGGTTTTCTGGACCAGTCAGAAAACGCCTCCAAGACTTGGAAACAAGGAGGCACCGTCTATTTTGGTGGTTAGCCGAAACACTTACGTTTGGTCAGTGAGAAAATGAACAGGAACGTACAGCAAAGAAAGAAAGTCGAGCCTCGACAAGATGAGTTGCACAACATCCAGAGGCAATTGGAAGGGATCATGCCGAAAAAACCTAGCATGGAGAGGCTTCCGAGCTTCGGATAATTGCTGCTCAGTTGTGAGCCCAATATTCAGTGTCCTACCCATATAGGGGACTAACCTTGAAAGCACGGGAGTTGCTTGCTTCGGTCGATGAGCAGGCATCTATGCCAGCATTAAAAACTTTCCACGCGAACTCGTTCTTCTTCTGTAATCGAGCGACTTTGCCCAGTCGCAGATAGCCCTAAAAACAAGTCAGCTCAAGATCTCCCCTTCGCAAAGGCGTTGCAGTCGCCATACATCAGGGAGACTGGGGGCGAGCTCCAGGATCCACTCAGCGTCCTTCCTGGCACGAACAAGTTCGTTCATGGCTTCGAATGTAGCCGCGCGATAGTTGAGAGCCTGGATATGAAGCGAGTTGCGGCACTGGTTAAACGACTTCCCGATCTCACAGGTGCATTTCATCGCTTCATCGAAAATGGACCCGTTCCGAGACGCGACCTCCTCAAAGTTTTTACATGTACACCTCCCACGGCGAGTGCCATTTGTGCAAGGGCAACGGTTCATCGCCTAAGGGAGAAAATCAGCTGTCGAATTGCACGCCAAAGGTGAGCAAGGGTTTGGGAGGCTCCAAGTCATACGCGTGTGAAGTTCTCCAATGCTGGCTTGTATCGCTTAGAAGCGTAGTGTCGACGGCCTTCAGTCACCAGGACCTCAGCTGTCGGGTTGCGGTCTGCAGACATTCTGATGCTGATGATTGAAAGCGACGAAATGTTTCGAATATTTGATTCTAATATGAGTCCAGGGTTCCCTAGATAGATTTTGCAATGATTAATTCTCGGGTTAAGTTGAGATTCCCTGTTCACTGATGACTTGGAGGGTCGCGTCGCGTTGTCTCGGCAGTGGAGGAAATTAGTGGACACCGGTGTAAGGGTAGTGGCGATCTGTGCATCAAACCTTCCTACTTATTATAGTGCATTTTATATCCAGGTACGGCACCCAGCACAGGAACCCATCACAATGGCTTGCTTGCCCAAGAAAAATAAAGGCCAAAAAAAGGAAAAGCGAAAAAAAGAATGCTTCTGCTCGGAGTCACCGAGGACCTCTCCGTGGCTCCCGTAACGTACCCCT